TACGCATAGTTCGATAATAGGTTTGTGCTTGGTCGCAAGAGTCCTTCCAGAATCTCTCCCAGTAGATATAACATTCGAGTTAACGCTTTGTTTTCGTCGATTTATTAGTAATTCTAGCAGGCTATTTTGATTGTAGCTTAAATAATTTAGTCAAACAAATTTCATTTTTTTTTTTAACTAATGCATGTGGCCGGTAATTCTTGTTATCTAAACGGACTCTTTCGCAGTATAAACATAAACATTCGATGTCAAGATTGTTACTGAGAGAACATTTTCCGGTTGGTCACTTGCTTTAAATTTATTTTATATTGTCCGCGTACTGTTATTATTAGTATTCAAATTAATATTTGTTCCTACCAAAATGTTAATGACGTCATAATAAAATTTTCTGAAGTTCTGTCTAAACAAGCTTAGGCCAGTTTTTATTTCCCGAAGTTAAGCTAAGAAAATATTGTAGGTAATGGGGCCGACGAGTCTTTTGATGTTTTTTCGACGTTTCATGACCCCATGAAGTTTGTTAGGAATAGCGTGGTAAAACGTTAACCAAAATGTGTTACCCATTTTTCCAAATGCTTTTTAAATTGAAATTGAAAAAATAAGTAGGTAAATAATAAATTAGGAAGGGATAAAAAAGGACAAAAAAGGATGAAAAAGGATAATAAGTAAGAAAAAGGACGAAAAGGACGAAAAAGGACGAAAAAGGAAGAAAAAGGACAACAAAGGACGAAAAGGACGAAAAAAGACGAATAAGGACAGAAAAGGATAATAAGGACGAAAAAGACGAAAAAGGACGAAAAACGAAAAAGGACAATAAAGGACGAAAAAGGATAATAACGACGAAAAAGTACGAAAAAGGATAATAAGCACGCAAAAGGACGAAAAAAGACGAAAAAGGACGATAAAGGACGAAAAAGGACGAAAAGGACGAAAAAGGATAATAAGAACGAAGAAGTACGAAAAAAGATAATAAGGATGAACAAGGACGAAAAAGGACGAAGAAGGACGAAAAAGGACGAAAAAGGACGAAAAACGAAAAAGGACAATAAAGGACGAAAAAGGATAATAACGACGAAAAAGTACGAAAAAGGATAATAAGCACGCAAAAGGACGAAAAAAGACGAAAAAGGACGATAGAGGACGAAAAGGACGAAAAAGGATAATAAGAACGAAGAAGGACGAAAAAGGACCAAAAAGGACAACAAAGGATGAACAAGGACGAAAAAGGACGAAGAAGGACGAAAAAGGACGAAAAAGGACGAAAAGGACAAAAAGGACGAAAAGGACAAAAAGGACGAAAAAGGACAAAAAAGGACCAAAAAAGATAATAAGTACGAAAAAGGATAATAAAGAAGAAAAAGGGCGGAAAGGACGAAAAAGGACGACAAAGGACGAAAAGGGCGAAAAAGGGTAATGAGGAAGAAAGAGGACGAAAAGGACGATAAAGGACGAAAAAGGACGAAAAGGACAAAAAGTACGAAAAGGACACAAAGGACGAAAAAGGACAAAAAATCACGAAAAAGGTTAAAAGTACGAAAAAGGATAATAAGGAAGAAAAAGGGCGGAAAGGACGAAAAATGACGACAAAAGGACGAACAGGACGAAAAGGGACGAAAAAGGACGAAAAAGGACCAAAAAGGACAACAAAGGATGAAAAAGGTCGAAAAAGGATAATAAGGACGAAAAAGGATACCATGGATGAAAAAGCACGAAAAAGGACGACAAAGGACGAAAAAGAACGAACAGGACGAAAAGGACGAAAAAGGACGAAAAAGGACGACAAAGGACGAAAAAGGATAATAAGGACGAAAAAAAACGAAAAATGACGAAAAGGACGAAATAGGATAATAAGGACGAAAAAGGACGAAAAAGGATAATAAGGAAGAAAAAGGGTGGAAAGGACGAATAAGGACGAAAAAAGATAATAAAGACAAAAAAGTACGAAAAAGGATAAGCACGAAAAAGGACGAAAAAAGACAAAAAAGGACGATAAAGGGCGCAAAAGGACGAAAAAGGACGAAAAGGACGAAAAAGGACGAATAAGGACGAAAAAGGATAATAAGGACGGAAAAGGATGAAAAAGACGATAAAGGATAATAAGGACGAAAAAGAACGAAAAGAACGAAATAGGATAACAAGGACGAAAAAGAACCAAAAAGACAAAAAAGGACGAACAAGGATGAAAAAGGTCGAAAAAGGATAATAAGGACGAAAAAGGACGAAAAGGACGAAAAAACACGAACAGGACGAAAAGGACGAAAAAGGACAAACAAGGACGAAAAAGGATAATAAGGACGAAAAAGGACGAAAAGGACGAAGAAGGACGAAAAATGACGTGAAAAGATAAAAAGGTCGAAAAAGGATAGTAAAGACGAAAAAGGACGGAAAAGGACAAACAAGAACGAAAAAGGACCAAACAGGACGAAAAAAGACGAAAAAGGTTAATAAAGACGAATAAGGACGAAAAAGGATAATAAGCACGAAAAAGGACGAAAAAGACGAAAAAGGACAAGAAAGGATCATGAGGACGAAAAAGACGAAAAAGACGAAAAAGGACGGAAAACGAAAAAGAACAAAAAAGGACGAAAAGGGACGAAAAGGGATAATAACGACGAGAAAGTACGAAAAAGGATAATAAGCACGCAAAAGGACGAAAAAAGACGAAAAAGGACGATGAAGGACGAAAAAGGACGAAAAAGACGATAACGAATAATAAGGATGAAAAGGGACGAAAAGGACGAAAAAGGACGAACAAGGATGAAAAAGGTCGAAAAAGGATAATAAAGACGAAAAAGGACGGAAAAGGACAAACAAGGACGGAAAAGGACAAACAAGGACGAAAAAGGACCAAACAGGACGATAAAAGACGAAAAAGGACGAAAAAAATCGAAAAAGGATAATAAGGACGAAAAAGGATAACAAGGTCGAAAAAGGATAATAAGGACGAAAAAGGACGAAAAGGACGAAAAAGGATAACAAGGACGAAAAAGGACCAAAAAGGACAAAAAAGGACGAAATAGGATGAAAAAGGTAGAAAAAGGATAATAAGGACGAAAAAGGACGAAAAAGGACGAAAAGGACGAAAAAGGATAATAAGGACGAAAAAGGACAAACAAGGACGAAAAAGGACGAAAAGGACGAAAAGGACGAAAAAGGATAACAAGGACGAAAAGGGACGAAAAAGCACGAACAGGACGAAAACGACGAAAAAGGACAAACAAGGACGAAAAAGGATAATAAGGACGAAAAAGGACGAAAAAGACGAAAAAGGACGAAAAAGACGAAGAAGGACGAAAAAGGACGTAAAAGGATAAAGGACGAAAAAGGACGAAAAAGGACGAAAAGGACGAAAAAGGACGAAAAACAACGAAAAAGGATAATCAGGAAGAAATAGGATGGAAAGGACAAAAAAGGATAATAAGGACGAAAATGACGAAAAAGGATAATAAGGAAGAAAAAGGACGAAAAAGGATAGCAAGGACGAAGAAGGACCAAAAAGGAGGAGAAAGGACGAAAAAGGTCGAAAAAGGAGAATAAGGACGAAGAAGGACGAAAAGGACGATAACGAATAATAAGGATGAAAAAGGACGAAAAGGACGAAAAAGGATAACAAGGACGAAGAAGGACCAAAAAGGAGGAGAAAAGACGAAAAAGGTCGAAAAAGGAGAATAAGGACGAAGAAGGACGAAAAGGACGATAACGAATAATAAGGATGAAAAAGGACGAAAAGGACGAAAAAGCATAATATTGGCAATATCAGCTTTATCTCGGCAGGCACTGTTTTATTAAATTTACAAATAAAATTGCCAAGAGCCTCCCGAACTAAAAAAACAAAAACACTGCACTCAAGACTTTTTCAAATTCATAAAAAATAAAGCACTAAAAGCTTAAAAGATTTTTTCAAGTTTATCCAGCAACAAAACTCCAGATTCCGTCAAATTTATAATTTTTAGATTTGACAATTTTTAACACGACAAACATTTTTAACTGCTTACTCGATTTTTGCTGATTTTACCTTCGCTTTACATCAGGCAAACATTGTTGTCAAATGGAATTTTATCAAATTATTACAAAAACAACAAACAAAGTTTAATTAAAATAAGGAAAACATTGAAGAACGCTTAAAGTCGAGATTAGTCTGAACGCGCTCTGGTCTGTAGATCAAACAAGTTGTCAACAGTAAAAATAAGTAGGACCGATTACTTTTGTTTTAGTTAATCCTGGTATCAACAAGTATTGTGTACTGTCATGTATTGATTTAAGGCTGCTAAAATAAAAAAATACTAAGTATGTGATAATTAGGCAAATAATGGAGCAAGTCGCGATGTTATTGAGAGAATTCCGCAAAGATCGCCTTTATAGACAATATTGATGATAGCAATTATGCCAGATTGCACGCTAGGATCATTCTCATACACTTTTGTATAAAAATTAAGCGCAGTTCTTTTTTAACTACGTTTACTCCATCTAATAAATAGTTAACAACACCCAATGCATCCATGTGTAAATTCATTACTTTCGCGCACGAAAGCAATTTTCCAGTACGTAAAGAAATAGATACGTAATAAAAATAAATATGGATTTTTTACTAACACGAACTATACATTTTTATTTTATCACAGTTAAGAAGTAATAATAAAATATATTTTTATAAGCGCTTTTAAATTATAGACATGTCTGTATAAAAAATGTACCGATTCCACTTCAAATCAATATAGTTGAATGTCATACTTCCTCGTTCTACAAATTTATTCGCTATTTCTAAATAAATAATTCTGTACGTCAGTAATCAGAAACAACGGCAACGAAAAATCAAACAAACATTTCACTGTTTCGTATTTACAGCTTGCAAAAAGTTACATTCATCTGCTGTAAATTAATGAATTATATACTATTACATTTAAATAAATAAAAAAAGACTTTTGGTATTCTTGAAAAACAAATCAGTGGTGTTGTTACGTTGACTAGCATGACTAGAGGTGACAGTATAGTGACAGATGACGTTACATGCTCTGTAACCTGTAACCCTACTTTTCTAACCTAAATTAATGTAGACCTTTAGAGTTTTTATTACGTTTTTACTCTTGTTTATAAACATGGAAAGCAAGGTTTTAGATAGTCTTCAGCAAAGAATTTCCGCATGTTGTTCCATCTACGAAAAATATTCATGGTTACTGAACTGCTACGTTCTAGTAAGTTAACAAATTATAAACAAACAAGTGCCGCAATTCCAATTTCAGGACTTTTTCACTGAAAACCATTGGAACAAGTTATTAACGAACTGGCAGATATCTCTGAAAGACCTAAGTTCCGCTGATATTTCACAACTGCTGGATTATGAAGGCCACATGAGGTTAGAATTGTCGGTGTTGATTGAAACACACTCAAACTTGTTACTTGCAGAGGTAAAACGTGGCCTTTATCTATCATCGCACTAAAGAGGATCCTCATTTCACTATCATTGTCAAGAAAAATGATTAATTTACCAATTGAAAACCCCTACTTTACAAAAGATGAAAAACTGCTGCAGTTGTTTTGGAAAAACGTGAAAGCAAAAAAGAGACACGAAATTTCAATTATGTCGAAAGTGTACTTTATTGACTTGGGTCAATCTATCCTACAATAGTTTAATTTTAGATATGCTATGATTCTGCACTTAAAACTGACTGTTTTTATATTGTGGATATTGGTTCTGGTTTAGGTCATTTAAGTCGAATGTTAAATTACGGATACGGTTTTAAAGTATGTACTATAGAAGCGCAAGCTTCATTCAGTCAACAAGCACGGTATGAAGAAATTTACCATGAAAAAAAAATTATCATTCTCATTTTCATTTTTAGGAACTTGGACGCTGAATTTGAAGTCGTTCTAGAACGAAAATTTAAAGGTTGTTTAAAATATAACAAAAGTGTTCATATTCACAAAAGGATACTATCTACAATTACAGCAGCTGAGTTTGTAGATGTATATTGTACAACATATAGTCAACTGTGACGCTTAACTAATAAGAGTTTTGTAGATTGTTAAAAAAGCTTTTAAGATTGAAAATGAAAATTTTAAGTTTGGGATTGTGGGGTTACATCCATGTGGGGATCTAGGAGCTACTTTACTTAAACTATACAATGAATGTGATAAAGTACAATTCATCAATATTGTAGGTTGCTGTTACATGAAATTAACAACACTGTATGTTTAGTTGCGCTAAATACAACAAGTTACTCATATTTGTTTTAGGCCTGAATCAAACTGTGGTTTCCCGCTAAGTAAGTTTTGCAAGACGAACAAATATGACTTAAGCTATCATTCCCGAGAAATCGCTTGTCATGCTATTGAAAACTATATAGACAAGCTCAGAAAAAACGAATGTTGGAGACTGAAAATCCATACTTACAGGGCTGCTTTAGAGAAAATAATCACTAAGAAGTGTCCTGACTATCACCACTGTGCTTTAAACAACGTTAAATATACAGAAGACTTGACGTTTGAAAGGTATGATAAGTATACTTTCTTCAAACTTATATCTTATTCAAATTACAGTTACTGCAAAAAAGCTACTAAAAAATTGAAAATGGATTTCTCGCAGGATAAATTAGAAAGCGCTGAAATTGAAGGGTTGTTAAAACAGTGGAAAGAAGTTGTAGTGTTTTATTCATTACGACTACTATTTGCTCCACTCATAGAATCAATAATACTATTAGACAGATTTATGTTTGTGGTGGAATCAGGTACGTAGCGCATTCTAGCGGCGGACAATATAATTACAAGTTTCAATCATTTATAGGTAGTATTGGAGAAATATTACCAGTATTTGATGCAAAAATATCGCCCAGAACTCACGTTCTCACTGCCAGAAAAAGTGAAATCATGTGACAATATTAAACTTCGAATATATCTGTGATATGTATAATTCCTCTGCCTTAATTTGTAACGAAAACGGAAGTCACAATAGAAACATTTAATACTATATTTCTCTAAAAAAATAACATTTTATTTGCAAAAAAGTAGAAATCCTGTAACAAAACAACTAGACTTTTGCCAACATGATCGCAGTTCTTGAGGGTATATAAACCTATAAAACATACGTTAATTCTGATTACACTGACAATATTTGTCTTACTTGTATTGAGTTCCTCCTTCCGCAGTAACTTTCTGGTTTTGTAAAATTATGAATGGACGTATCAATTCTGCCATGACCTCCAAACTCCTTGTTGTCTGAGCATAGCGCAACGAAGTATTCGCCTTCTCCTTCAAAACCTATTTTATAATCCGCGAAACTCTTTGTAGGATGGAAATTGAACATGAACAACAACCCGGCTCTTTCGAACGCTATGACTTTATCGTCTTCGTGTTTCCAGCTGACGTACGCAGGTGGCGCACTCAACCAGCCATATTTGGCTTCAGCATGGTTCACTGCGGCATCCCATGCGTTTAAAAATTTGTACTTGAGCAATTCATCATCAACCAGATTCCATTGTCGGCGGGCGTAATGGTAGGAACTGTTGTTACCGGCGCGCGGGAAGTCCAACCACTCTGGGTGACCGAACTCATTACCTATGAAGTTTAAGTAGGCTTCACCCCCTAAACCATGTGTAATGAATCGAATCATTTTATGTAGAGCAATCCCGCGGTCGATAATCGGCGATGGATCAGACATGACACTCATGTGGGTGTACATTTCCTTGTCCATTAGCCAAAACGCTATAGTTTTGTCGCCGACAAGGGCTTGGTCGTGCGATTCGGCATAGGCGACATTTGGTTCCATCCATCGTCGGTTGGTAAGCGTGTGCACCACATTACCGACGTTCCAGTCATCGTCGGAATAATGTTTCAAAAGTTTGATCCATTTATCAGGAATAGCCATAGCAAGACGATAATCAAAACCCATGCACCCTTCACTAATAGGACGGCAAGTTCCCGGCATACCTGATACATCTTCAGCTATAGTAATAGCGTCAGGGTTGAAAGTATGAGCAACGTAGTTTGCCAACATTAGATACACCAGGCCTTCAGTATCAACATTCAGTCCAAAGTAGTCGTCGTAGTTGCCGCTGAAACCTTGACCTATACCACGCGAATGGTACAACATGGAGGTCACTCCATCAAACCTAAACCCGTCAAACTGGTACTCCTCCATATACCAGCGAATATTCGAGAGTAAGAACCTCATAACTTCAAACTCTTGATAGTTAAATAACCGCGAATCCCACAAAGAGTGTTCCCCACGACTCCCCGCATGGAAGAAACAAGCATCTGTACCATCAAACTGATTTAACCCATCCATGACATTCTTACTAGCATGTGAATGCACTAAATCTAGCAAAACGGTTAACCCCAATTCGTGTGCTTTGTCCACTAAGCGTTTCAGTTCTTCAGGGGTACCATAACGACTAGAAGCTGCGTAGAAACTGGTTACTTGGTAACCGAAACTTGCGTAGTAGGCGTGTTCCATAATCGCCATTAGCTGAATGGCGTTATAACCTTGTTTCACAATTCTTGGAAGCACATTATCTGTAAAGTTATCATAAGAACCCACTTTCAGTTCTGAAGTGGCGATTCCCACATGGCACTCATAGATACGAAGACTCTTAGGCTTAGTCGGCCGGGTGTGTTGGAAGATGTATTTCTAGAAGTTATATGTAAAAAATGAATTAAAAATGGCGATTGTTACCTCTGACTTTGGAGGGTTCCAGAATTTGTGTCTATAAATTGTACCTTCAGTCTTTGGTGGTTCCACTACGTAGGTGGCGTAAGGAGACAGACGGTCCTCTTTGGAACCTGATTGTGTTTCCACGACAACCTAAGAATAAGTAAAACGATAAAGAATAAACGAACACAATTTCCTTAAAGTAGTTCAGAAGAACCTTCAGGTCAACTTAACTACCAACATAGAAGAATCTAACTTCAATCCACTATGTCCTTTCAATTATTCAACAGTGTATTTGACACCACAACTTGTTTCATTTGACACACACCTCAGCCTCAAGTGGCATGACAACGCAACATAAACAACTAAGATCAACACAGCTGTAAAACAGCTAGAAGCACAAAATCGGTCAGGCCAGTTCACTTTCACTTTTTATCTGTCACAGTGAACCTGTTTAGATTAGTGCCTAGTAGATTCATTCGCATTCGTGCTAGCGTGTTGACCAGTTCACTTAAGTTTATGTTTCCGTGTGTTATTGTTTGCGATTTAAAAAAAAACGACAGAATAAATTTTAAAAACCATCCCCTTCTGAAGTGTGCATGTTACGCCACTGACTGACAGTCCGTTGTCAGATTCTGGTGACTCACCATGTTGAACTTAAAATGACGCATGACAGTTTTTTACTACTCAGACCTTGAGTCAAAACTGTCGTCGTCAAACTTGTTTTCCCTCTCCTCATACTGTCTCTACTTAACAATACACATTTTAATCTAACTTAACAAATTTAAGTTATTTAGGCTAGTTACAATATTTCATTACACAGGGTTAGTAATAAACCACGCTCACAACAAAAGCAATACCTTCAGTTCTGACAAATGTTGTATGGCACAAGATCCATCTGGTTTGGCAGGAATAACTAGTTCCCATTTACCATAATCCATTTTTTTGTAAGGGTGGCTACCCCTGTTCCAATCATCTAAAACATTTATTTAGAAAACAATAAATAGAACAAACAATTCTCTACTCACTGAAATCTCCTGTAAGGAATAAGCATACCGCACCAGGAGCCCATTCTCTGCATACAATACTATTATCGGGCTGTACATGAAGTCCATAATATTTGTACCCTTGTGTAAACTCATCCAAGCCGCCTCCATTTTCATCAATAAGTTCAATCAAATCTTTAAAGCAGCCATACCTGCCGTCAAAATAAGGCTATTAATAAAGTTGTTGACACATCCATACACACAACTGCATCATACATTGACCTTCCCAATGTCAATCAAATAAATCATTTTGACTTACCGTCTCCTAATTTCGCGTTCGTACGGCTTTAGATAAGGATCTCTGGACAACAAAGTTTGTACTTCCGGGACTTCAATTTCCATAGGATCCAAAGACGAATATTTTCCGCCCATTTTTATGCTAATTCCAAGTCTGAATGTGTTGTTCAAATCTAGAAAACTAATTAACTAACTAACGGTTGGGTATTGATTTGAGAAAATAGATGATAACGGTGTCAGAATGTCACTGATATTGTGGAAAGATTGGAGATTATTAAATTGTTACTCATACTTACATTTTTTTAGAGGTTAAGACGGATTTACTTCACCATATTGATATTTAAATGGATGTTCACGTGCAAGCCAGCACGTGAAAATGCGAACATGCACGAAGCGAGCCAGCACCAATCACAGATATTGATCGTTACATAAATACTTACTTAAACTATGTGCAAACAACACACATCGGTGGACTGACTTTAGGGTGATTTACTACGTTAAATTAAATTAAAATTAAAATGTCAAGATGAGTTGACATTTTATTCTTAATTAATTTGAATTATGCTAATTAATTCTAGCCAAGCCTCCTAGACGCTTTGATTAATCCACATTTTTAGTCTGTGTAATATTAATTAATGTTCTACAAAAAGCAAAGTTCATAATCTATTTATACATTTTATCTACAACAAAAATATTGCATGCACTAGCATAAATTAGTATCAATTAATTGTGGGTACGCTGGTCGCACGTGGCGGTAGCCGTCTGTTGACGTAAAATTTTATCAGGCACAAATAAAACGTGCACACTTTATTGATCACTTTTAAACAAAAATTTGCATTGGTGGGAGATTTCAAAATATCTTATTGACCACGTGTAAATGTATCGTAAATTTAAAAGGACGGACTGTTATAGATTTGAGTGGACCAGAAAAATGGCTAAAGTTTGTTTGACCACAAATTTCAAATATTCTGTCCCCGTTTACTCAATTATTCATTAATATTTTATTTCTGTAAAGCGCAATTTTTTAATACAATTTCTACCAATGTACTTTTTTGAAAATTTAAAATTGATTCATAAATAGCGAACAGCAGATAATTTCATACTCATCACACAGTTTTAACACGTTGTAGTTTTTTTTTGCTTCTTATTTTGCTAATTATGTTCTTCTGTCGAGTGGAAGTGGAAACTAATAAGAAAATCTAGGATAAATAAATTTTCGGATATTCTAGTTGAAAAATAGTCGAAAATGTCAAAAATGCCAAAATCACTCTTATCTTATCAAATACTAGCCCCGCCCACCCACCCTCTATTTTCTTAGAAGGTATGTTATTTGCCAAAGTCACTCTGATATTAGCAAGTACTAGGCCCGCCCACCCACCCTCTATTTTCTTGGAAGGTATTTAATTTGCCAAAATCAGTCTCATCTTAACAAATACAGTAATGATCACTTATAGCGAACCCAGTTAAAGCGAACTTCCTGATATAACGAACCAACTTGCAAAGTACGAATTGAAGTACCATAAGATACGTGTTATTTTTTTCCGATTATAACGAACCCGCTTATAGCGAACTTTCGGATAAAACGAACCAAATTTTTAATATTTAAGAAAAAAAAAATCGTTTATAACGAACTTTTTCACCAGTCAGCTTTATCTCGACAATGGTCAGGAACACTTTTGTGTGAATCTATTAGATCCCGTCAGTTTTATCAGTATGGCATGGCAAAAAGTATCAGAACAAACAATTGCTAATTGTTTTCGACATGCTGGGTTTCTCCAGTGTGAGGAAAAATTTGAACCAGGGGTGGGATTTTGTTTCTGCCGATACGACACGATACGAAGCGATAATTGAAAAGGACGAAAATATAAATTTCAGATGCGAAAGAAAAAGACGACCACATTTTATCGGTACCGATATTTTATCGTTATAGAAACAAAATCCCACCCCAGAAGACGAACTACTATTGGCTGAATGGCTGAGAAAGCACGAAAGCAATTCTGACGATGAATTTGATATCGATATTTTGTAGAATTAGTTCAATGCAACATTCAAACAGAAGATGAGACTGAAGACGATGATAATAACGAAGAAGAAGAAGAAAAAGAGGGAACGATCCCAAAACCCTCTTAAATTAATCTTTCTCACAAGAAGCAACAACTTTTACTTTTAATCAACTTTTTATTAATCAAGTTTTTTTTTTCTTATATGTACTACTGTACTATTATCTTTACATGTTTATATTTCTGTAATACTTTTAAATGTTGCATCCTGAAATACATAGTTCAGTTTATAAAAGTAGGTATGTACTGATTTTTTTGAGATCATTTATAACGAACTTCGGATATAACGAACTACTTTTCCCAGTCCCATGAGGTTCGTTATAACCGAACATTACTGTACTAGCTCCGCCCACCCCCTCTCTTCTCATTCGAACGACTAAATTAATTTCTGGTTACTATAAGATCATTTTATTCTGATCGGATAAATCAATCACTGAAAAGGAGACCGGGTGGGTGGGCGGGGCTAATTATGTTCTTCTGTCGAGTGGAAGTGGAAACTAATAATAGAATCTATGATAAATAAATTTTCGGATATACTAGTTGAAAAATAGTCGAAAATGTTAAAAATGCCAAAATCACTCTTATCTTATCAAATACTAGCCCCGCCCACTTGCCCTCTATTTTCTTGGAAGGTATGTTATTTGCCAAAGTCACTCTGATATTAACAAGTACTAGCCCCACCCACCCGCCCTCTATTTTCTTGGAAGGTATTTAATTTGCCAAAATCAGTCTCATCTTAGCAAATACTAGCTCCGCCCACCCCCTCTCTTCTCATTCTAACGATTAATTTAATTTCTTGTCAGGATAAGATAATTCATTTCATTCAGATTGGATAAATCAATCACTGAAAAGGAAATCGGGTGGGTGGGTGGGGCTAATTATGTTCTTCAATCGAGTGGGGGTGGAAACTAATAATAGAATCTAGGATAAAAAAAATTTCGGATATACTAGTAGAAAAATAGTCGAAAATGTCAAAAATGCCAAAATCACTCTTATCTTATCAAATACTAGCCCCGCCCACCCACCCTTTATTTTCTTGGAAGGTATGTTATTTGCCAAAATCAGCCTTATCTTAGCAAATACTAGCTACGCCCATCCCCTCTCTTCTCATTCGAACGACTAAATCAAGTTTTTCATTTCAACGGTGTGAAGTTCATTACAATCAGACGTATACTTTTGTGGCGCCAAATCACATTTGAATAATTTGAATTTGAAAGAAAGAATTCAATCAAAAAATCGTTAAACGTAGGCAACCATATATGCACGTAGCACTTGGGGTAGTTCTGTATGTTTTGATTAGAGGGCGGTACTGATAGACAATCTAGCGGCTAGCGGCATGACAAGAGGGGGATGTGCCATTATGTTTCTGTTTGGTGTAGCGGATGCGTGGTAAACACTTCATAATTCTTTACACAAGATTGCTAATAATTCATTTACGGCAGTTAAACTAACTAATTCATACCGCGAACTGACCGAGGGTTAAAATCATTTCTCCCCTTAGGCGGTCATCATCGTTATCACCATCGTTATCATGCTGACATCATAGAGGCATGTCCTCACAACGCTAAAGAGTGATTACTTCATCGAGGCATGTCCTCGCAACGCTAAAGATTGATTACATCACTGAAGCATTTCCTCGCCACCCTAAAGATTGATTACGCCACCGAGACGCTTTTTCCTCGCAACGTTAAAATTTACATCATCGAGGCGTTTCCTCGCAACGATCAAATTTACATTATCGAGACGTTTTCTCGCAACGTTAAAAATTTACATCATCGAGGTATTTCCTCGCAACGCTAAAATTTACATCACCGAGACGCTTTTTCCTCGCAACGATGATTGGATATTTTTGTGTTTATTTATTATGTAACCAGTTCACGGTATTTTAAACTCTCAAAGTAAATTGTTTTAAGTAACCAATAAATTGTGGCAAGTATTAATCTCATGTAAATTTTGTTAACTTTGCAATTTTTCACCTCATGCAATATTTCTCTATCTCACAATCTTAACCTCAGTAATTTTCTTTGTTGAACGTAAATTTCATTCGCTGCAGTTCTAACCTCACATAATATTTTTATTTGCACAAGTTTACTTCTAAATCTTTGCTAGTTTTCTTTTGTAAATATTTTGTTGGTGAATGTTCCCATCGTATAAATTATTTGATGTCAACTTTTAATCTCACATATGATTTATTTGTTGTTTAAAATTCACCAAGATTGTATGGTGAATTTAAATGTCGTTTACTGCTCTCTTGAATCTTTCAACACTTGTTTAATTGTTGTTAAAATCAGAGTTATAAGAAATTGAACATTTAAAATGGAACTGAGGTTAAATAACACCGAAACACATAGCAGAAGCGTAGGGCGCGGCTCCTAGTGGGGGCTAGCAGGATTTGTCGCTCCATCTGCACCAGGGATGCAGGCTTTGAATAGATTCAGGCGGGAACGGTCTGGACGATGAGACGTTGTCAGCTTGTTTATAGCCGTGACTTCCGATCTCTGGAGAGATGCGGGGAGAACGACCCCGACCGGGAGCCCCAAACTCAGCTTATGCTAGGGGTATTTTTGTTGTGCTCCTGTTAACTGCCGTAACTTTAAATTTGACGCCACAAGCCCGTAATAACTCGAGTATTTGCATCCAATTACTTTAATTCAGATTTTGCTTTGTTTTTATTAAATTTGTGATATTCAAATATTTGCATTAATTCAAAACATAAACGTAGGGTTTTTGTACTTGTTTGGTTTTCATATGTGTACGTCTGTCAATTCGCTGTTGTCTTTTCTTTCATATTTTTAAGGTGTTTCATTTGCAATGTATTATACGATAGGGGATTTTTGGGGCTGAGGAGATGGCAAGTCCGTGTCGCCCTCGTTCGCAGCCCCTTCCCAAAAATGTTGTCTATTATTTCTTGCGTTCTCGACTCACACGCAGGGTATGCTCACTTATATGAAAGAACGTCTCCCTGCCAAAAAAAACACAACGTAGGTTCTTTTTTGTTAGACGATCACAGCCAAGGCCAAATTTTGAATTTTTGAATTTTTTCGTGGGCCTTTCAAACTTTTTCAAGTCTCAATTTAAGGCGGGAAGTTTGGGTTATCACACTAGGTATAATAATCCCAGCAGGTCAAGTAAACGATTAGTAGAAAAAAACAAAACAATATTTTCCAGTATTTGGGTTAAAAGTAATTGTAGAATTGACTGAATTACTCAAAAAAAGTAATTCGCTACAATTACTCATTACTTGAAAAGGAATTGAATTGCAGTAATGAATTACTTGTAATTGAATTACTTCCAACCACTGTCTCAAATGTACAAAATATGATGAGTCTGTGCTTGTACATTCATATTTTTTGGATTTGCTTATACGGGATGATTCAAAAAAATTAATGAATGTGTGATTTTATAATTCAGATAATTCTTGATCCGTAATTGCTTTAGTGACTTTTCTTGAAGGATTACGCGCAGTAAAGAAGCTTTAATCGTTTATAAATTAGGACTTTTAACTTATTGTTGTGATGTCAAAAGGTAACAGATACCTACGACAGTGGTAAAAACAGTGTTTAAAGCTGGTGAAGAAAGCAAGTAAATGTTCGAAACGTTAAATACAGGTGTCACTAGTAATCAATCAAACAACGATTGTCTCCGTGTTGGTTTTTTTCCTCTTACGAATCGCAGGCAAAAGTCAACAAAATGTGAAGTTTTTTGCAGCAAAAAAGCTAAAGATGCCTCATATGACTGTTGATTTTTTCGCGAATTGGAAAATTAGTGGTGTAACATTTGAGGTTAACTGAGGATTTACAGTTCTTCGGCAGTGAAATCGCGTCTGAATGTTGGCTATGCTGTTGTTTCCCTCCAATTTGGCGCGCCATCTTCAGTGACTTAAGAGCATTTAATTAAGTAAGGTTTGTTTTGGTTGGCGTTGTGTCGTTGAAAAAATCGTAAAAATAGTGACTTAAAACCCTTTAAATTATGTTTCGTACTCCCAAACGCGGTAAATTAACGATTAATAGTGATGATCATGTGAATATAACACCGCCTAACCGAGTATTGAAACCTAAAGTATTAAATTCGTTGGACAAAGGACCGGTTAACGGTAGCTCGAGTCCAGGGACAGAAAATACAGTTCTTTCGCCAGGCGAGACTCGAAGGGGCCGCCCAAGGGCCGAAATCTTAAATACTCTCATTCTAGAAGGATCTACCTCTCCGAGCTCCATTAAATGTACTTATTGTAATCGAGTCTTTCCAAGGGAAAAGTCTCTGCAAGCCCACTTACGAACACACACAGGTAAGCGTGAGGTGCCCTTTAAATCCCGAAAATGAGTGTGTTTGCGCCCAGGTGAACGACCCTACGAGTGCGATTATCCCCGATGCACGCGCAAATTCGCCCAATCCGGACAACTCAAGACACACCAAAGACTCCACACAGGTGAAAAACCCTTCATATGTTCCTCGCCGAACTGCGACAAGCGCTTCACTCACGCTAACCGTCATTGCCCCGAACACCCCGACAAACAACTCAAACGCTTCACGTCACCAGGTGGCACCTTCGAGAAAAAATTTGATGAAGGCCACAACGCGGAAGTCCGACAGTGGCTAATAAAACTCGAAAAGTCTGTACTCTCAAACCCCAATTTATCAAATTTTCACAGGCTCGTTTCCAGACGCAACAACAAGCGCTCCAGCAACTTGGACAACCTAGAAACCACTCCGAAAAAATCCAGAATCAAACGCGAAGAATCCTCGTCTTATAGAACCCCCAACTCCAGCTACATGCTCCCGGATGAAAACTCCCCCAAATCCGAGATCGACGATAACGCGTCCGTGAATTCGGAAAACTTCGAAAATGGCCAGAGTGCGTCGTCGCCGAGGACTTCGCTGCACAACTTTGAGTTGCCCAAAGGGCCGAAAAAGCGCTGGCTGCAGGCGGTTCAGGACCAACAGTTGATGGATTCCAGCCAGGATCTTGCCAGACCGATTAACTGGGGAGAGGACGGGCCTAGTTCCGATGGGGACGATGTGAAGATCGAACCGGTCGCTCTTGCCGAGTACGTGGAGCCGCAGGTCGTCGTGGAGAACCAGAAGCGCCCCACGGTTCTGGTGTGCGTGCAAGGGGGCAAGAGCAAGCAAATTACGAGTGATGATATGCAAGGTGCTATAGCTTTGGTGGAGCTGAAAAACGGACAGAAAAGTTGTGTTAACTATAATTACAGACTTTGATTTTCTTATGTGATATGTTGTTCAAATGTGCTCTGTTATTTTAGGAGTGACCTTTGAGGTTGCCGTTTTAGATTATCATAGGCTCTGAAGTTAAGGATATTGTGGGTTCTTGTCAGTCGACAGGATGTAATTTTATATTTATATGAATTTACAATATTTTATTTTTATGTTGTGTTCATTAATTTCGTATTTTATTGTGTACATCTGCATCGACGTTGGTTTTTTGTAGGTTGTAATTTTAAGGACGCACAAGTTTTGTCAGGAATTTGCACTTTTACAGACTTTGTATTTGTAATTTAGTACAATCGATCTAAGCAGGTTTACTGCAGTACAAAGACGCTTTTACATCCATCAGCAGCTATTTTATATTTAATTCCAATGGATTGTAAAAATAGTCCAAAGAGTGAATTTTGTAGTTAGTTTGCTTTTAAACTTAGACTCAGTACTTCCAATCCTTAACTTGAAAGTTATATTGTTATTTATGTCAAAATTAAAATCTTTTATATGCTTTAGAAAACATTGTGATGTTTATTCTTATAACAGTTATTACTATATTAAGTATTTATTAATGAACAGTTTGGTATGTATCGATAACATTTTTTCAATAAACGGTTTTATAGCACACGGTGTTTTTTTTTTAGAATCGTGAAAAATCCACTGGGTCGTTTGGTTCCAAGCTTTAAAATTTAAATAGGAGGGTTTTTAAATATTTAAAGTCCAAGGATTATGTTGATTCCGTAGTGGGGATTTAAATTTGTTGTGGTGGCGTCACTGGTTGCATAACTTCGCATCTCGACGGTGTTGCCAAATCGACCAATTTGTCAATTTTATCGATCTACATCATTTCTTAATCTAAAGTAGTCTCATTAGACATTTTAAACTTCTTAAAAATCTTAAATACGAGATAGAACATTAGCATATTATGATAATTAAATAAATGAGCATAAAACAGTGCATTAAAATAAAATAATAAATGATCATAGTTTTCGTTATAAATCTTAACACAATAATAGGAATAGGTTATAAATTTTGGTACAAAGCAACAATTATTTTTTGCACGTAATTTAAATCTAGCACATGCTCCGACTCCTACCGAAACGTTCCGACAATCTCTGACGAAATCCCGTCGTGTGTCTGTGTTAGCGTGGCAACACCGCTTGTTGTTGATATTTTGACATATGTTTTTGTTTTGGGGTACAAAAAACCCTTTAATGTTTATAATTAAAGCATGTGACAATAAATTTGCGTTGATCCGAAGTTAGTGATAATTTTAAGAAAATATGGTTTTAAGTTAGTTGACCCAAGTTCATGTGATTTCCTCATTATGTCAAACCTGGAAGCGAAAACGAGCAATAACGATGTGAAAGTTGAAGAGTATACTTGGGAAAATTTCGAAAATTGGATTCACTGTATTTGCATTGTTAATTTTGATTTAGAATTGGGACAAGCTCTTGAGGTATTAGTTCACCTTTGTAACCTTAACCTAAATTCGACTTTCAGGGAATATACCCACGACATGTGACCCTAACTAAACAAGAAATTTCAAATATTTGCTATCTGGCTTTTCCGGACTCAAATTCAGGGTGCATGGGTGATACTACTTTTATCATCAGACTTCCGAATAGCCCAGGGAAAAATACGCGTCGGGACGAACATCTGCAATATAACACTAAATGTGCCCCCATTTTGCAAATCCATTCTTCGTACTATTGGGGTTATGTATATTTCAGACAAGTGAAGGATGTCACGATACCCAGAGGTTATTTTCAAAAGGTACATCAACACTCTAAAACTACCACAACTGAATTTTTTTTTTATAGAGTGTGGTTATTTTAACCCGACTTCCTTTTAATAATTTATTTATGAAAATCTGTAGTTTATTGGCGCCTGAATATTTTGAGCACGGTGAACTTAGCTTGGAAGCTGCCTGTTGTAATATAGAGAGGTGGCCCCCTCCAGCCCCCGGAGAAACGCTCAATCTTCCTTTGTTAGGTTTAGTTTTTCAAGTAAGTAATTTTATTTGTTGTAGCGTCAACTTCGTTACGGTTATTTTAGATACATATTCCTCAGTCGAATAGTAATTCGCCTGGACGTCAACTAGCTGCTTTGACTGAACCTACAGAAAATCAGATACAGACCCCAGTAGAAGATTTGAATTATTTTGAAATTTTGCAGCCAGTTTTGTCGCATATTCATATGTTATGGGAGCTGGTGCTCACGTCTGAACCACTAGTTGTTATGGCCACTTCTCCAACGCATTGTTCGTCTATGGTGTTGGCTTTAACTAGGTATATATGTTGTATAATAAAAATGTGACAGTTGAATTATTGTAACAATTTCAAGTACATAGAATGAGATCATCAAATTTAAAATATTTACTTGTTACGTTATACAATAGCGTCATTAACTTAAAGAAACAGTTCTAACCTTGAAGCCATCTGTACTGTCATTAAAACAAGCAAGAAATGTATTTTTAGGACCACATTGTATTTGTATCAAAATCTAGATAGGACGCGTTAGTAACTAAGTTAAGATCGCAGATGGCCATGCAATAAAGTATGTCGTGAATTGGTTCATATAATTACAAACGTGAAGGCCGTTGTCGTGTACAATGAGGTTATGTTTTATAATATTGCCAGCTGTCAAAGATGTTAAAGTACTTCAATACTTTTTATTACTAATGAAATATTTTCGCAGTTGACTGTGATATAGGGTGTTTAGGATGAAATTTCGTTGTTTTGTAGTCAGAGATAATCAGTTGCTATCAGAGTTTCAAGTGTAATTAAAATAAACTGAGATGATAAGTTACTGTACTCAGTAGGAATATCAAGAGTGTGTCATTTGTCAATAAAACCCAAAATCTTTGAAAAATAGGTACTAGGTTTTGGTGTACAGGCGGCGATATGTAAATTTTTAAAAATTAGTAATTGTCATGTAATGTATTATGTAATTTACTAAAACTTGTGATAACATGTTGTATTCATGTCAAAACATATGATACAAAAAAAAATAATGAAGATATTATTAAACTTGGTGCAGTGTTGTCATATTTAACAAGTAAGTTAAGAATTGAAACACTGCATGGTTTAACAGAATTTAAAATGCAGAATACTAAAAACAACATATTCTTTGTTGACACAATTGATGAAATCTCATTCATAAAAATTAAAAGCAAATTTTTGACATTTGTGATGTAATTGAATTCGACACGGAGTTTAGCAGACATTCTTTTTTCCAGAATAATTTCTCCATTAAAGTTTTGCGGCGATTATCGGCCCTATTTCACGATTCATGATAGCGAATTTAAGCAATTTACAAGCAAAGTACAAGGACCTCCGCCGGTAGTTTTAGGTGTGACGAATCCATTTTTTGCTAAAATACTTCATCATTGGCCTCATACGATAAGATTAGGAAATGACTTAGGTTAGTAGTACTCATTTGCAACAATTTGAAAACTCATAGCGAATTTAAGGGCAAACTCAAAAATTTAAACTTAAGAAAAACGCCAACACGAAGATGTTGGATAATAGTCCAGGAGTATATACAACATATAAGCCTTTTTTACAAAAGGATAAAAATATTATTAAGAAGCTGTTGTCCGGAGTGACTTCCAGGAGACCGTTTGAGGTGCAGTCGGCCTTACTTAGAAGACATCTTCTGGAGCTCACGCAAAGTTTTATGATACCTTTAGAAAGGTATATCGCTAGTTTAATGCCATTACAAAAAAACATATCACCGTTTAAGGTATGCGGTTCGTGGTGTTGGGAGTGGTTGTACATGATTTTGTTTCAGGCAGCGCCAACTCCGTTACCTTTTAATCCCGACGACTTTATTGCCACTTTAGAAACGGCCGGGCCGCAACTCACAACGGGGATTAAAGGTGACTGGATTGGGTTGTATAGGAAATTTTTTAGATCCCCCAATTTTAATGGATGGTTTAATATGAGATACACCGACCTAGCTTTGAAGTTGCAAGCCTTGCATTTGGAAGCGCTTTCCAATGCTGTAAGTTTAATTAAATGTGTAATAAAACTGACGTTGTTTATTTTTTTCGTAGGATTTAAAAGACTGGGTACAGGGTAAACCCGAAGTGGAAGTTGTTGATATGATGTTAAAAATTAAAGACAAAATAACAAAATGCCGCGAAATTAACATACCTGTTAACGAAAAAGTAAAGGAGAAGTTGAATCAAAGACTCCAAGATATTATTAGCTCTCTCCCTGATGATTTGAAAAATGTTTTCCAGGTTACATGATGATTTTCCCAGTTTTACGTCATTTTTAACCGTTTATTGATACTGTATATGTATATGTAATTAGTTTCTAGTCGTTTTTTAAGAGTAATTGTATGTTGTATTTTTTTAACTTTTGTGTATTTTTTGTCTTCGATATTTCTTAAAGGGAGGATTTGTTGGTTTGTATTATAAGTCTTGTGTGGCGTCCAGAGAGAGTTGGATGTTGCATTATTTTTTTACCGTTTTTATACAATCCCCAGATTTTTATAACTTGTTGATCAAAAAGAGTAACTAGAAATATGTTCCTTGTTTATTTCCAACGATCTTGTCTAGAGCAAAGAACAAATTTAACTGGATGTGCAAATTTTATATATTGATTTCATTAAGGTTAAATTTATGAATTAAGACTCAGGGTTTGCACAACAGTTATTGAGAAATTTCAAATTGCATTGAGAATGTGCCAAAATGGCCTTAACTGCCAGTCAATTTCCATCCGATTATAATTGTGAGATATATTAAATTAGTTTCAGTAATTTGGTAGTGATTTGTAGTTTAAATATAAGTCCCTTTATGTCAATTATGTTAAATAGTTTAGAAACGAGTAGTGTATGAAGAACTTATAAAATAGAGAGTTTGGTTGGTTTCCAACTTGTCAGCCTTAATTGCAGCAATAAGTAGACAGATTTTATTTATTCTGTGCATTATTGGTACTCGATTTATTTCCACCATGTTGAATCAAATGTTAGAATGTGGCCAAGATGTGAATTATTTTTGTAAAAAATTGAATAACTTGTTTATGCTTCAAAGACGTGTATAAAATATACCAAATTGTAAAAATAAAGTTATTCTTGATCAATTTTTTTTTCATTGAAATGAAAACAATAAACAATTGGAGATTATATCAGAATGACAAGTGGAGATTTTTAAACTTTGCCCCACTGATAACAACAAGAGAGTTTATGAGTACTAACTTTATTAAAGTCATGCATGTTAATGAGCCAGCTAATGAAGGTGAAAGTCCCTTAATTGTGACGTGACTAGTGTGAACTCTCTTTTAGTTCCCGACCAATCACAATCGAGCTTCGTACAATAATAAGGTGAAGTGTCAAAGTCGACTTTCAGCAAGTTTTTATCGTAAAATTGTTTTGCAGTATTGTTATTAACGTCAGTCCAAAGGCGTCAACAACCCAAGTAAGACATTTTCAAGAGTGATACGCAAATTTCGCAAAAATGGTTCGAGTTTTTGTTGTCGGTGTCGGAATGACAAAGGTAAGTCCATTGCCAACATGAAAGTCCGAAAATTGTAATTTTGAAAACCAGTTCGAAAAACCGGGAAAACGGGGAGATGATTATCCGGGATTCGCGAAAGAAGCCATCACCAAGGCCCTCGATGACGCTAAAGTAAAAATTTCAGAAGTTGAAGTAGCGACGTGTGGTTATGTTTATGGTAATTAATCCACGAGCTCGTTTTATTCTGGTTTGTTTACACAAAAAATTATAGGCGACTCGACCTCTGGCCAGAGGGCCGTGTATGAAGTCGGAATGACGGGTATTCCAATTTTCAATGTCAACAATAACTGCTCAACCGGATCTACAGCTTTACTTCTAGCCAAAGAGTTTGTAGAATCTGGCAAACATGACTGCATATTGGCTGTGGGTTTCGAAAAAATGGAAAGAGGCAGTTTATCGTCAAAAGTAAACCAACAAAACTAGTTTTCTTAATTATTTATGTAAAATTCTAGTTCATGGATCGCACTAACCCCCTTGATAAACACGTCCAGCTTATGGCAGAAATAACCGAAATGAACGAGGCCCCAATGACCGCGCAAATGTTCGGAAATGCCGGAATCGAGCACATGAAACGATACGGCACCAAACCCGAGCATTTCGCCAAAATCGCGTACAAAAATCACAAGCATTCCGTCAACAACCCGTATGTATCTCCATCTCTCTCGTTCTGTCTCTTTTCATCCCAAAATTCAGGTATTCGCAATTCCGCGAAGAGTATTCATTGGACCAAATCAAGGGCTCGCCTCAAATCTTTGGTCCCTTGACTAAGCTGCAGTGTTGTCCCACCAGCGACGGCGGCGCCGCCGCCATCGTCGTATCAGAAAAGTTCGTCAAAAGCCACGGTCTTGAGGGCCAAGCTGTTGAAATCCTAGGCATGGAAATGGCCACGGATCTTCCGTCCACTTTCGCTGAAAATAGCTGCATTAAATTGGTAAGTCTTATCTTATCAATTCAATGCTTTCATAACACCAGAAAACAATGACTCTTGACTTCTATTAATAGGTTGGTTATGATATGACAAAGACAGCAGCTGATCGCCTGTTCCGAAAAACAAACACCAATCCCACTGATGTTCAAGTTGTGGAACTTCATGATTGTTTCTCCGCGAACGAATTGATCACATATGAAGCGCTGGGTCTTTGTCCACCGGGTAAAGCTGGTGAGCTAATTGACAGAGGCGACAACACGTATGGTGGGAAGTATGTGGTGAACCCCAGCGGGGGCTTAATTTCCAAAGGGCATCCATTAGGGGCTACTGGATTAGCGCAATGCGCCGAATTATGCTGGCAATTGCGCGGCCAAGCTGGCGGCAGACAGGTTCCAGGAGTCAAGTTGGCCCTGCAACACAATATTGGCTTAGGTGGCGCTGTTGTCGTCGGTTTGTACCGGCTGGGATTCCCTCAAGCAAGCAAGGGTGGAAACACTCCAGCAAATACGTCTGGAGTCAACGAAAATGATTTTATTGTTGCACCATATTTGAAAATTCTGGAACAGGCAATGGCGAATGACCAAGACAACTTGATTGAAAAACATAGAGGAATCTATGGGTTTAAAGTGAAGAAGCCGAACGGGCAGGAGGGATATTGGGTTATTAATGCCAAAGTTGGCAAGGGTAGTATTGAATTTAACTCAAAAGGTGAGTCGCGGTTTTTAAATTTTTTGTATTATCGGTACTGATTTGACCCATTGCGTTGTTATTTGAATGTTTAAACAGATATAGCACAATTCTAATGAGTAAAAACCACGTGAAAGTGGCTGATAACGAAGTTTTTATTGCATGGTTTCACATAAAATACACTGTAAACTACACTTTGGTTTATCGCTACATTATACAACGTACCTATAAATTATTTTGGTATCAAGGCCCGCTTTGAAATTCAAACAAATTAGAACTGCCAAACATTAGTAGTTGTTTGTCTAAAAAATATTCGGAACATTCGTTAGTTATAATACTGCATTGTACATGTTTTATTCTCATTTCTCACGACTTGTCTGCACAACCGTATGAAATAACGTCATTACACAATCTGGACTGTATTTTGCAGTGGGATAATTTAGAAAAAACAATGACTGTTTTGCACTTGTTTATCTCACAAGGTTATCACTTTCGAGAAACAAAAAACTACCAATGATTTGTATAAAATATTCTTATTTCGCATATTGTTTAATTATGAGCAATCAATATTTTATATTTTAATCAGTTGTATTAAAAACAAGTAGTAGCTGACTTAATCAGTTACTTTACAAGTGTACAAAAAAAGTAACTTATGTAAGTTGATGTTTGACAAGATAACTTCCTATTTAATGTCAAATGGAATAATATAAATTTTTGACATATTAAAAATAAAGTGCATTTAATAAAATAGTATGGAAATAAAGTTGCTGTTATTGGTTATAGTGAAACCGTTTGCATTGATATTATATTATTGCTATTTTTTTAGTGAAACCTCAAGTCACCTTTACCGTGAACGACGCCGACATCGTCGACTTGATCACCGGGAAACTGAATCCACAAAAGGCATTCTTCCAAGGAAAAGTGAAAATCCAAGGAAATATGGGTTTGGCGTTGAAACTGGCCGAATTGCAGCGCACAGCCGCCAAACAAATTGCAGATATCCGTTCAAAGTTGTAACAGTCAATGCATTAAAAATATCTGTTATGGTTATTGTTCATGTTATGAATATATTTTAGACTCGTGGTAATGGACTGACATTCGGGTTAGGTCATTGTGTACTTTTTTTATGTAATAAACACTGGTTATTATGTTGGGTTTGAATTAATTAATGACTCGGTGAAGGACATACTTAATTTCCTTTTGGTAATTAAATCATTACTGATTGTTTGATAGATGCAGCGATACGCGATTATTAAAACCGTTTTTTGAACAGTTTCTAAGCGTTACCATGGCGTTACCAAAGTTAGCACTGCTGGGTTTTTGGCTAACAGTGGCCGCAAACGTGATGGACGTTCTGGTAATAAATTACTCTATAGTTTTTAGTACTTGGTTGTAATTCCAGCGACCGAAAACAATAAGAATTTATAAATTCGAAGGAGTGTGTTCTGGGTATGAAAATGCACCTATCACTTTGAGAGACATCCACCTAATTTATTCAAACAAAATTCACTTGATATCTTTGGTTTGCGTTGGAAAGGAGAACATTTCTGAAGACTTAAAGGTAATATTTATTATTTAACCCCGTTTCTAAACAACTGAAAACGATATTTTAGTTGAAACTGGATTTAAAAAGGTGTCAGTCTCGAGAGGCTCTCGATTCCTGCGAAAAATACCAAACTATAAATATTAACCACTTGTGTCGCCTAATCAACGCAGAAAATAAACCTTGGTCGCCTCTTGTCAAACTGGCTAATCCACCCATGCAGTGTCCTGTTCGAAAGGTGCGAGATTATAACATATAATACAACGTTGTAACTGTTTTTAAGGGTGTTCGAGTTGTCAAAAACGGGACTTTCGATGGTTCCGCTTTTTCCCACTTACCTATAGCCGGATGGTACTGGATTGTAACCGCATGGGCTCTGGGAGAAGAAACAAATCGCGTACTTATGTGCGTTAATTTCGAAGGACAGCTCGTTTCGTCTTAGTTTCAAATTGGCGCCGTTTTGTTAGTTGACTCGCTCGCTACCAGAGGCCACTCGCGTACTAGTTTCAGTATTTCTTTAAAATGCAGCTACTGGAATCGAATTAATTTAGCTTGTGTGCATAAAATTACCATTGAATAATGTGTGACACATATACCGCACGCGTGTGTAGGTCTTTATTGACGAATTTTGGTTTATTAAACTCATAATAAATTTTAACACAGATGGTCTTTTGTAATTGTACGTATGGACGTTGTAATTGTAAAGTGAAGAGTGAAGACCAATCACGGGTTGCCCTCATGACATAGATTCCTGTAATGACCTGTCGTCTCTGCAGACGTAGGTCAATGGCAAATTTTCTTTTATTTGTAAATTCTAGAGTAATTACCGAGAAGCGTTATTTCTGAATCAATGGAACTACTCTAGCGTGGCGCCTAGCCGTCAACCACAGACGAGATGATTTCATACCTTTTTTCTTATTTTGTTACTCTTATATAATCAAAAAAACGTCGACAAAGTCACGTAACCATTAACTTAAGGTCGTTTTTTACACTACAAAGAGATATGTTACACGAAGTGAAGTACTGACATTTCAGTTGACAGTTGTAGCATCTGACTTTAGTAAGGACATACGGTTTCGTGTTCATGAATATTTCGATTACATTTTTTTGCAATGGGGTTTAATATGCGCACAGTGACAAAGCAATGTTAAAATTGTAAAGTGTAGGGAGTCAGTAGAGTGTAACAATACATATTGACTACGCAAAATAACTGTGGACTCTTTCACAAAATTACTCTAATCAAATGTTTGAAGAAGTTGGAGAGCTCTTATCTGCCTCTTCTAGCAACGGAACAGTTTGCTGAAAAAAACCCGTTTATTTGATATGTGGTTTAATTAAGTTGGGGCAATTTTATTTTAGTTGTATTATCTTCCCCAGACTGGAAAATAAACAAAAAATGCATGGTCACGTCCTGTTAATGGATGTGAGTTTTTTAAAATAGTTTGCAAAAACTGTACATGTCAGTAGAATAAAATCCAGCGGGAATCTAACTGAAAAATTTTTGATAGATGGGAAATGTGCAGCAGCAATTATTTATTGACGGTTAAATTAAACGTGATTGATGTTTTAGAAAAGAGTCGGACTATTGATTGTCGCGGTAAAGGCGACAATTAACAAGAAAATAGGAAATCGTTAATAAGGAGAAGATAAAAAATTACAGGTCACGGTTCTACGAATTTTAATTAAAATTAAAAAGTCGCGGCAATTGCGGGAAAAATGTCTACAATTAATCTTCTACTAGTGACAAATTGGTTGGAAAACTGATGGGTTTTGGAATTAATTTGGGGTAATTTACGGAGAAATTAATAAAGTTTCCCTCACTGTAATGACAAATATGTAGTGTTCAAAGGACTTACTAGAGGGGGGTGTCACAGATGAAGATAAAAATAAACATTACATTTAAAAGTAAGGTGACGAAAAGGACGAAGAACAAATTAATATAAGACACCTGTATAGTTACCTTATTTCAACAATTAGTATATATTTTGTGTTATTAACGTACAATTATCAAAATATTGGACCTCCATAGGTCATAAGTCATACAGTATAAGTCTAGAGCGTTTTGGAACTGGAAGCAGAAAGGGTTTAAATAGAACAATTGACAAAAAACTAGTACAAGGCACCACCAAGACGTGGATTAAGACTGTTGACTATTACCAAACAAGAAGTGGCTTTACTGGATCGTGGGTTTAGAGTTTCTTCGGCAAAAAGTGTGAAACGTTTCTTCGTGGTTATATGGTTTTTGATCGGGGTTAGGTCTAGAAGTATACTGATTGGGCGCGTTTCACCACTTTAAGTAGGCTTGAGGCCAAGAACTGACAATGGACTCACTTACTTTATTTTAATCGTTTTGATAATTTGTGTGAAAAATATACAGAATTTGCAGAGTGAAAGAAATTGATTAGAAATGAAAATGTATTTAAATAAAATATAAGAAAATGAAATATAAAGTTAGTTAATATAAATAAGTAATGTGAAAAACTGGTAATATATTCCTAGACTATATCACAACAGAATGAAAAAGAAGGGTGTATTTGAGGAACAAATGAGATTATTACATTATTAAACAAAGCACGTGTGGAAAACAATAAACATGAATAGCTAGATAAAATTAAAAAAGTGAAAAGAGAGAAAGAAAGATACATCGGTAAAATTTTGTTTTATTTTTGAATGAGTGAATTAGCATAAAAATAAAAAATTGCTTTCTAAGTGGTGATTAATTTAGCGTTGATACTTTCGACTATTGTAGTAATTTCCAAAAATAAAGGTGATCGTGGTAATGGTAGAGAGTGAATCTCCATATCCGCCCATGTAACCTAGATCGTGTTCGCTCACATAGTTGCTTAAAAAATCGGTTTAGTAATTAAAAACTTGCATCATTTAGCTGTCCAGAGTAATTGTTGCAAGTTGTTTGCATTTCGTAAGATTCTTTGTTCAAATCGCGTTTTGCAATTGTTGCTAAAATTTCGAATATCCAGCATCTTTCTGTTTTCACGGTGCGTGAACCTGCGGATAAACAAAATTTTGTTATGTCAAGAAGATTTCGGGCAAATTTGCATGAGCCTGCGAAGTGTGTCGTGCAATTTGCAATACAAATGTAAATTGGTAAACACGGAGGTGGGTTGCGGCTAACGCGGTGAATAAATTCTTCGCTGGTGACATACACTCTGCAAGATGATTTCTCATGACCACACCATTAACAAATCGAGTACGAATCCGGTGTAGCACTGGAAGTGTAGACTCGAATAACCTGATGGGAGAAAGCGGAACCTTGAACAACCATCAACCGTGTTGAACTTGACTTGTAGCCTCTGCATTCTTGGCTTTTACAGGTGGGTTTGCTGGTTGTTTCAGGTTTTAATACTTCCACTGCACGATATTTCATTTCTATTACCATTACAAAAACTTATCAAAAACACGTTTTACATGGAAATGACGACAGTACGGTCGTAAGTCCCGGAATTAATTAAATAGCTTGGAAAAGTTAAACGAACTTTCCCGACATTTATTTTATTACTAAATACTAAACCTGTGTATAATTCTCTTTATTTTATTTTTCCACTTCTGAACGCGAACAAAACTACTGACCCGTAAGCAAAATGTAATTAGACAACCTAGAAACAACGTCCCTTTAGGGACTGACACTAAAATGAGCAAAATGATGCAGTAAAACCGCTGGGCCTTCGCTCCGGTTTTTTAACTGGTGCATTTTAACCGCAAGCTCAACAATTAATATCATTTTCTTTTTGGTTTTTCCAAACTCACTTTGTTATACGCTCTCACCACGTACCGGATACTGCAAGGGCCACGCCGTTTTTGTATTATATAGAAATTTCAGCCATAAATATCGCAGTAACTAGAATAACTTCGGACTAAACGGACATCCTTGTCTCACAAGTTGAGACGAAAGTGCGACACACCTTTTGACACCTCCAGTCATTATTAACGTCACGGGCATTTACCATTTGCAAATAACTGAATCATAATAGAAATCTCTATGGTGTAAAGATTTCCAGATAATTAACATCACCTAATCACCTAAAATATTCCAGACTTTCTAAGAGCTCCAGAAATTTGTTAATGTAAACTGCCTTGAAAAACGCATAAGCTTATTCTTAGTATATTGATTTTTATATGTTTCTAAACATATAACATCTTTAGTGCAAGCGCGAATACAGGATTTCGTTTGGGGGGGGGGGGGGGGGGGGCATTTTTGTGAGATTTTACCTGTTCTAAACAACAAAATTTATAAAATTTTAGCCCATTTACTCTTTTTCACATAACATGGGTGAGATTTGGTTGTTTTCGTTACACGTATAGCGTACAGTAGAACCTCGATAATCCGAATTAATTGGGGAATTGTTCGGATCAGCGATTTTCCCAAAAATCTGAAAGGGAATTGAATAACAATTTCATACACAAACAAAATTAAAGAATTCTAAGCAACAATGGACATTCTAAAAAAATATTCCTCCGTGAACATAAACACGCCATCTTTTTGGAATCAACACGCCGGGATCAATACCCTGAATTTTTTCAGAATTTTTAGATGAATTTTTCAAAAATGAAATTTTCCATTATGCAAATTTCGACCAATTCTCGACGATTTCTGAAATTTAACTAAATACATTTTCTTGTAGATTTTGGGCCTCAGAAGTCACTTCTGGCTTCATTTCTTGGATAACTTAAACCATTTTTCCAGATTCGTCCAGTTGCAATATCGCAATTTTTAAAAATTTCTAAAAATTCGAGTTTCACACCGAATTTTCCGAAAATATTGCTCGGTTACCATTAACATGCAACATTTTTGGAATCAGCGCATCGGGATATGCATATATCCCTGAATTTTTTCAGAATTTTTAAGAATTTTTTCTAAATATGAAATTTTCCTCATGCAAATTTCGACCCATTTTCGACGATTTTCGAAATTTAACTAAATACATTTTCTTGTAGATTTTGGGCCTCAGAAGTCACTTCTGGCTTCATTTCTTCGACAACTTAAACCATTTTTCCAGATTCGTCCAGTTGCAATATCGCAATTTTTAAAAATTTCGAAAAATTCGAATTTCACACCGAATTTTCCGAAAATATTGCTCGGTTACCATTAACATGCAACATTTTTGGAATCAGCGCGTCGGTATATGCATATATCCCTGAATTTTTTCAGAATTTTTAGGAAATTTTTTCAAAAATGAAATTTTCCTCATGCAAATTTCGACCCATTTTCGACGATTTTCGAAATTTAACTAAATACTTTCTTTGTAGATTTCGGGACTCATTTCTTCGATAACTTCAACCTTTTTTCCAGAATTAGTTCATTAATTCAGTGGATTGAAAAATCGCAATTTTTAAACAAATAACTCGGATTATCGTAAATTCGGAGTATAGAAGTTGTACTTCATTTTTCAAACAGCTCAAAAAGTTTTGTAGTTTGTACTCATAGGCTCAAAACAAGTCTTAAACACCAAAAGGAGCAAATGATAATAAGAAGAAAATGTTCTTGCCTGTTTTTTCCTTCCCCAGTATCACGTTTTCTCGATATTTCACGATCTCCAGAGTACGAAACAATAGGTCTGTCTGTCTGTCTGCCGTCTGTATTTATTTTTTTAGACATATCC